ATGTGAATCATTAAAATAGCTATGGGAACAACATAAACAGCTAGATTTCACTTTTAAAAAAAGCGAAAAGTTATTCTTTCAATGTGGTCGCCATTTTTGAATTTTAACGTGGGAAAATTCGCCTTTGCCATCGGATTTTTAATCACCAATGAATAATACAGTAAAATGTTACATTTATTTCAATTGGGATTGAATATTGATATGTGGCTTGTTTTAGTTTATATAAATTAAAAGATTTGTAGGCCTGTACATTTGTGTATCCAATTGAATACACATTTTGCTCAAAGACTTTACGTAGTCTTCGAACACTACTGGGAATGGAGGCGGAGCTGGAATCTCAGTAGTGTAAATATTTCTAGTTCTTGTAGTGTACATGAGAGAATAAATCGTGAACGGTGGCTTGAAGATTTGTCTTTAGATTAGATTTCGTATCATTTGCTGCCTCAGGGATTAGAATTGTTTGCCAGAAAATGATGCTGAAAATACCCACAGAGTGCGTTTTAGAGCGTCTAGTATTCAAAAAATTTCGCTCTTTACCAATAGCCGCCCACGCATGGACTGTCCCCACACCTAATTTTTGGCGATCTGCGCCCCTGAGTACCGTAGTTAAATACACAACACTCAGCAATAAATTATTATGAATTATTAGCGTACCAATACAATTAAATAAACAACACTCAATATTAAACTATTACTGTACTAGTACAATTAAAAAGAAGTACTCAAATTGTAAATTGTTACCGTACTACCACAAATAAAAAACACAGAAGAAAACTATCGCCGTGCTACCGGTTATCTCTTATTCAGATAGCTATGGTAATTATGTTGTATACTGATGTACCAAAATTCATCGAAACATTCCAATTACGCGTCTGAATTAAAATATTAGATTTTAAGAAAATGGGCACGGTTTTATTGATGACTATACATCTTCAAAGAATTTTATTTTTCATTTCATCGAAAACAAAATCATTGATCTTAAAATTGATTAATACGAAGGGGTTATTTGAGTAGCCAGCAAATGAAAATTTTGCTATAAATGTGAAGATTGATGGACGACTCTCCGAGATAGAATTGTTTCATACAAAGATATGACAATGCGTATTTTAATACCACTATCTAAAGACACGACTATCATTTTACAGGTCAATAAAACTTTAAATCTGCACCTGTTTTTATGTTGTAAATTTATCATGTAGCAATAAAACTATAACAGGTAAACTTTATAACTATTGATTAATAAATAGGGGGCAACAGAAATTACATTCATGGTGACACGTTAACAACCCACATGACTGAAATGGAGCAACTCCCAAAATGGCGAAGATATATGATGGCGATAAAATGCTTCTTTATTCAATACGGTCTTACCTAATTATTCATTCGTTCATGATTTGTTCTTACTATAAATTTATTTTTAAAAAGTACTACCGACTATTTTGCATTCTCACGTTGTTGAACGTTTGTTTGAAAACAAACAAAATCTGATATCACTTCCGTTCGTGGGTTTGCCGATGGCGTCTCTTTTATTTTACGCATAAAACCTTTACTACAATTTTCAAATTACATGTTAATAATTAAATGGAAATATGTTCTGCAACATGAATATATTAAACTTAAGGATAATGTCGGTATAATAATGTGCATGAAAATATTTTGCAGGAACATGAAATCTACAGTAATATTCGAAACAAGAGTTGCCAGCCGGCTCATATATTCTGGGCTGCAGATTTCGCTCACCGTGCCCTGCAAGGTGGAGAAGGACAATGTTTGGTGGTCACTGGTGATAGTGGTGCCGGAAAGACGGAAAGCACCAAGTTGATACTGAATCATTTGGTCCACTTAGACGGGAAATCAACCACTAATTTGGATTTAGTAAAAAAATTAGAAAAGGTACTATTTTAAATGAAATATGGGTTTATAGCCTTAATTTCCTGCACTAAATGGAACTATTGGCAACGGAACAAGACATGCAGAGGGCTGCAAATGGTTTCCTTTAGGCACACGTCAGTTTGTAGAGGAGAAATCTATTTATTGTTCCATTAGAACGAATAGTCGCCTTTCCTTGACAGACTCCCCCCCCACCCCTCACAACTGACAAGGGAAAACCCCAAGGAAATTTTTGCCAGCACCCAGTTACTGAACCAGGGACTCACTGACTGGGTCACCATGACTCCGTATAAACTGAAAGATGTGGGAAAGTAACCCCTTATATTTTCTTCTACTTTTATTTGTGAATTCTAGTCCACGTGTTAACCCACAGGTTTTATACATTATTTATTTTGGCTCGCCTCGGGTGACAAACATACTGGTTTTACAAAAATTAGCCTAAACAAATTAACCTTGTATATCAATATCTTTATTCTATTTTACCTACAGATTAATTTAGTGCTTGAATTTTTTGGCAACGCCGAAACCTGTTTGAACGAAAACTCCAGTCGCTTTGGTAAGCTGATCGAGATATCGTATGGTGATGACAACAAGATTGAGTTTGGTAAGTGATATATAAGTTTAAATAAGTTATTGGCTTTATTTTGTATATTTTAACCTGTAATATGTGGTTTTGTTGACAATGATTTAAAGTTCACGTACAACAGATTAGTCGATACTGATTGGTGGGTGTCAAATTACGGATCTACACACAAAACTATTAAAGGCTCAATACCACTCTTGTTGTAACTGAATAATATGTCCCAACAAATTGTACTATTTTACAATATTCCAATTAATTGATGATACAAATTTCATCTTAACACACCTAATTTAAAAAATTGGAAAAATTCAACTAAATGATTTGAAAAGCCTGACGTAAAGCTTTTCAAATGTGACTTGGATTTAAAAATATTTTTGAACCCTCTGGACAAGTAAAATAGGATTTAATGGACAATGTACACAACAGGTAGACACCAACACATCTAGTACTTAGAATAAGGCTATTTTTTATTTTCTGGAGCTGTCAAGCCAGCAAGAGTGTTATTGTCCCTTTAAGTCATAAAATAACCACGAAGTAAAGCTCAGTTAGTAAAATGCATGAAAACAAAAATCATCCCATCTGAGTGTCAGACGTATTTAAATTCCCTATTCTGCACACGGGTGACTATCTACTTCTAGAATAGATCTCGGCCCTGAATGAACGCCATATCAAACAATTAGTACTACATGTATTTTGTAATGCGGTTCTACTCCGTTTTATATCTGCCATACGCACAAAGACTAACTAAACCCTTTCTATTTATTAAATGGAATCGGAATTGGGGAAGCATACGAAGTGTTTTCGACTAAAATCGTCGATTTAGAAATTCAAATGTCGGTCAACTAGCTTAGTGTCTATTCTCAAGCGGAGCTAGTTGTAGACAGACAGCGTATGCTTTGTAAACCCAAATCGCTGACCCCAAACTCTTTTTTTTTCATTTCCAAGATTCTAAAACTCAGCCTAGGCGTGATTATCTGCAGATAATCAAGCTAAAAAAGCTATCAAAAATGATAAGTCGGTTACTGTATTTTAAATGACACGACACATGCTTTAGAATACAAGCATCGATGCGTGTAGATTATTAAATATACATTGTAAGATTTACATATAGAATTGTCCGATCTTCATGTTACAGTTAAATGATATCTACTGAAAATGAATATATTAAACAATTCAGTAATATTACTATATTCTGGGCGATGTTATGAGTGTCTGATTGTCAAATATCATTGCTACGATAATAAACAGGGTCCAATTTAACGTTAAATTATTAAATAACGAGCTATTTAAATCCATTTAATATCTCGGCCATCCGATAAACTAGCAAGTTAATTGCCATGGGCTTATCATGTGAATAAATGTCATTTTTTGCAAAATTTGAAGCAAGAAAAAGATACGTGCTATTGGTAGAGTTAGTTATTACATTATCCAAACATACCCGAATGGTTAGCACGTGCGTGTTGTATCATAAGGTCTGTCATTGAGTCAACTGCGTGGTTTCGATCCCCCGGTTGTTCGTGACAAGAGTAGGGTCGCCTGTCCAACCTCGTGGGTTTTCACGGGGTCCTCGGGTTTCCTCCCACTACTAAAGAACTCTACTCGCAAGCGAATTATTCAAATAAAATTGAACCATATGTTAGTCCCGTTATGACCTAGTTAAACTCTCTCGCTCTCTCTCTCTCCCTCTCTCTCTCTCAATCATACCCCAGATTCCGACTGACCTTATTTTTGTGACAAGTAACAGTAAACGCTATGACCTAGTTAAACTCTCTCTCTCTCTCTCTCTCTCTCTCTCTCTCAATCATACCCCAGATTCCGACTGACCTTATTTTTGTGACAAGTAACAGTAAACGCATGAATTAATTTTGGACTTAAGGATATTATACATAATTACTTTCTTAATTGAAATAGCCACACTCACATAGATTGACGCTAAAGAGGAAATTTAGTTCCCCTTCCATGCACAAATATTTCAAATATAACAAAGCTATTGCGGTAGGTGACATGTGATCGAATTTAAAAAAGCGGAATGATTAAATTGCATTGTTTGCTTACAATAACTAGTAATATAAGAAGCTACACGATAAGCTGATATGTAAATGTCATTACTACAATAATGGTACACTATAATATGTACATTGATCAGGTGCAACATGCTAATTTAACGTAACATTATAAGACTTGAAACACATGTTTGTCACCTGATATAAGCTGCGATAAAAGCATCTTATTAAAATATGTGCATTAAACTAGGATGATGACTGACGCTGATCATTGCCCCTGAGGTTATCTTCTTCCTTGATTTCTGAAATTCAAGCCGAATTGGTCTGCCCAATCATCTTAAAGTCGTGATGGATGTTATGCCCGAGACAGGACTTGCGTATTCATTCTAAATCACATATTTATCTATTTATTTTTATTCTGAACTCTGCAGCTTGACATCCTAAGTTATTCACATTCTTTAACGAACAGTTTTTGAATTTTTTATGTATTTACAGCGAAGATTGAAGGTTATATCTTAGAAAAATTTCGGGTAACAGAACAGAATCAAGATGAGAAAAACTTTCACGCATTTTATGCTCTGTTTGCTGGCATGTCCGAAGAGGACCTCTCACAGCTGCAATTGGAAGAGCCCAGTGATTACAGGTATTGCCTGCTTGCAACTCATTCTTTTAGTTTAAGAATTTTTACAGCCTAGTATATAGTGTGGACCTTTATGATACACACATAGGTTCTTAATTACATGAAAACGGTTAATGGCAAAATTTATAAAGGTATTAATTGTAAATGCAGATAAACGTGTCACCTGTTCTTTTGTGTTAAGCAATGTCCGTCGGTATTTACAATAAAATGTAATGTAAGAGTATACGCAATTTGGCATCATTATTGAAGGAGAGTCGTTTGTTCAACCTCGTAGGTTTGTGGGGTCATTCGGATTTCTCCCACTACTAAAGACCCCTACGCGCAAGTGATTTATAGAAATAAAAACGGACAATAGTTAAACTCTGGTTAGACCCATCTACATTATACCATACTTTAGCGCTAAATATTTCCTGTAAATCGGATATTTGAAAAATAAAATTATCATACTTATATAATAATTGAATATTTACAACACTTTATTTATATACCTTTCAGAATTCTCACAACGTTTAAAGATGGAAGCGAGCAAAGAAAATACGAAAAGAAATTTTCACAGATGGTTCGACTTTTTCATGAGATTGGCCTAGATAAAAAGGTAAAAAGAGAGAAAAAGAAGAAAGATTATGTCTGGCGATTAAATTCAGCTCGGGTTAAACCACAGTTTCAAAAAGTTAAAACCAATTCGAAAAATGCTTAAATTCATTTAGAGAGCATTGTGAAGTCTCGTAAATAACTCAGACGACGTGAGCAGTCTAAACGACTGCCATTCTGGTTATATATTAAATTACAAATGTAATGTATTTAATGAGAATGTTTATTTATTCAGACAGTTGATCAGATCTACAGAACATTATCGGCCATTTTACATTTGACCAATGTCGAGTTTGATGAAGACCCCGATGGTGCTGCAGGAATTGCTAACGAGAAATCTGATGAACACATTAATAGTTGTAAGTTTCATTTATTCCATGAAGACGGAGGCCTTTCCCCGCCGAACCGAGTTAAGGAAAATCTCTCTGGAAATGACCCTCTCTTTTAATGTGGTTTATCCAGTAATTCCCCATTGGATTGTATTAAAAGGAGCTGACACAGTTATGTTTTCTGTCAGGGGTGTAATTAATCCTTTATATTTGCAGTTTGTACGATGTTAACCTTGATAGGACAGGACATTGATGACATGAAAAAATTCCTTACAATGAGTGAAGTTAGAGGTAAATTCTGAACTATAAATATTTAAATATATATATACCATAGTTCACACGGTCTTTAATTTTACAGTAGCTGTTACAAAGTCGACAATTATTCGGACCTCAGAGCTCAATTTTCTAATGAGGTTAAATGAGCATCACATATACCATATTGTAAAGTTACTGCCACTTACTACATTCGAAACAGGAAGTGTTTATCTTCAAAGCTACGTGCAACTATCTGAAATTAGAATAGTTTTTATTCTATAATATACAAATGAACGGTTTGATTGTCGACACCTTGCAGACCGATAGCTACAGTAGTATCTGAATAACCAATATGTGACTTGTTATTTAAATGATTTCAGGAGAGTATAAAATAAAGACATTAGTACAAGCTGAAGATGGTAGAGATTCGTTAGCTAGAGAACTGTATTCCTGTGTTTTCTATGGTATAATAGATGTCATTAATACTTTACTCGCCAAGGGAAGTAAAACAAAGAGGTGATTTATTTTTCCAGTCTTATTACTTTATTTCAGTTCATATTTTTCAGGTTTTTGCTTAAAATTTGACGATATTATGTCAAAGTCATCATTGCCCAGCGCATATCATTCATCAAGCCTGCATTGGCAAGACGATGAATTATGTTGTGGTTGACACATACATTTCATTAATTAGTTGAGATTTTAGTGGTTTAAGCCTTGGTGGTAGGTCAAAGCCATATAGCCCAATGCAATTCAAATCAATAAGTCTTTATTTGCTAATTCTGTTGGGCATCAAGGGGGTTTTAATAGGGAACGCGATATACAGAGTTCAAAATAAAACAAACTAAATTAGTAAGCTTAAACACGACTTATTTTTATTTAATAGACAGAAAATGATTAGAATCCTGGATGTTTCTGGATTTGAAAATATTCCGAATAATAACAGTTTTGAACAATTACTAATTAATACGGTGAATGAGAATCTCCATCAATATTTCTTGAAGAGAGTATTTAAAGAAGAGCAAGATGATTTTATTAAAGAAGGTATTAATTCAGAAGACATTGGTTTTAAAGATAATACAGATACTATTGGACTGTTATATGAGGTAACTTTTACGTTTGAAGACCTTGTAGAATCTCGGGATAATCGATTATCGATATATTAAGCACAATTAAACTGTGAGCCATGACATAAACTTGTGTAACCAAAGCAACGGGAATGCTGCTTTCCCAACAGCACACAGCTCAAAATTCTTACTGGATCGTGTCCAATGGTTTATAATTATCAAAAGTATCTCGAAGGTTTACCTAAACCAAGCCCCTAAAGTAATACAAAACACGGGTTTTGTGTCCATACAGAAGTTAAATTTGTGCATGTCTATTTTTTTATTCATTCGAATAAGTTTATTATTTCATTTTAATAAAATGCTCTAATAAGACGATCCGAATAGATGTCATGGGTTTTCTCCTGGACCTTCGAATTCCTCCCACTGCTAAAGACCCCCACGCACAAGCGAATTATTGAAATAAAATTGAATCAAATGTTAGTCCCGAAATGACCTGGTTTGTGTCGAGTGGACCTGAAAGCTCTCTCTCTATCTCTCTCTCTCTCTCTCTCTCTCTCTCTCTCTCTCTCTCTCTCGCTCTCTCTCTCCCACTCGATATGTGAGCTCACGGCTCGGGCGCGGGAAAATTGTGAAAAAAATGACTTTAAATTAAATGGTGCTTTCTCGAGTGTTTCTCGAGTACCAAACCTCCTGAGATGGCAAACCACCAAACAGATAATGTATCAATAAATAATGCCAATTACGTATCAAAAACGACGTTATCGAAGACTAAAAAGGGCCGCCAAAGTACGTGATAACGTTTACATCTTTAGGGGTTCATGAGCCTACCTTACTCATGGGGTGGTCCTTTTCAGTCCTTTCCTTCATTAAATTATGTGTGTTCTATAAGTTTCTATTTTGGATATCCTTTTTTATTTTCAGTCACCAGGAAGTATATTTTCTATCTTAAATGATTCAATGGCCTTACATCCAAAACCGGCAAACTTTTTACTGAATCTAGAAGATGCTCATCCAAACATTGTACCCAGGGCACAAGATAGACGTGGTCAACTATTATTTGTTGTCCAACATTATGCAGCCGATGTAAGGAGTTGTAATTTTAATCATATCTTTAACTGGCCAAATACCCCACAATTTTTCACTTGTCAAAAATGTTCGCCATGGAAGAGATTTTATAGAGTTCTACTTTTCTGCACCACCCGAATTGCAACTGTAATGCATATTTTAACGTACACAGTGTAATATACATCAACTTAGTTGTTCGGCCCAGATCCTCCGTTCTGCACCTTAGACAATTGGGAAATCAAGCTGGAAAATTTTGAAGAATGTTCTCGACTAACACCCTGAACGATTCCAGGACCCCTTAGTTGGTGAGCTACGGCGCCTTTTTCACCACGCCACGGTTGCTCCAAGATTTCAACGAAGATAGATTGCCATCCAAATACAAATCTACATATGAAACCCTTACTTGTAAAATTGTAAGAGATCTAGAGATGTTAATAATACATATGTTAATAATACATATGACTAATATCTTTTTTCTCTAGGTCTGGTATAATGCTGAGAACTTTCTGACGAAGAATCGTGATACAGTATCAAGTAGTCTAAGTGAAATTGTTTTAAACAGTGACAATATGTTTGTTGAAAAATATTTTCAACTAGGAAGCTTTGCTACAACATCGAAGTCCAGGTAATAATTAATAAATTTAGATTTATTTAAATCTTTATTAATAAATGTTAGTAGTTTTTGTTGTAGAAGTCAATTATATGAGATTAATATCGTATTAACACTTTACATTGGATCTTTTCAAACTAATATAGGATTATTTCTACTGATATGGGAGGGGCGTGGGGTGGGGCTGGGGGTTGGTTAGCCGAATGGTTAGCCCGTTCGCGATGTAACATAAGGTTTGTCATTGAGTCAACTGGCGTGGTTTCGATTCCCCCGTTGTACGTGACAAAGAGTAGGGTGGCCTGTCATACCTCGTTGGTTTTCTTCTGGTTCTCCAGTTTCGTCCCACTGCCAAAGACCCCTATGCGCAAGCGAATTATTGAAATAAAATTGAATCATGTTAGTGTCTAGTGGACGTTAAACCCCTCTCCCCCGTCTCTCTCTCTCTCTCCCGATATGTACACAATGCAATCCCTAGATTTTTTATCCTGACATCATGTTTCCCGTTTTCTTTCTTTATTGTCACATTTTGATTTTTAGAGGTGGAAGGTCATCATTTCGAGGCGATTCACTGTAAGTAAAAAAATATGATATTGTATATTAATTAAATTATATTAAAATTAATTTAAGATAGCACCATCACTTAATACCACAACAATAATATATGCACGGGATACAGTTCTATGGAATAGTATTAGTGTTCATTGCTTGATAAAGACAAAAGCTCAGTGAAGGACTGGGTCTGAAAGTATTGGTTGCCCAAGCACCAAAACAATTTTATCATTTAAACATGCATTATGCAAGAGCAAAATCTGCTTATTACAAGTCTTTCTTTAGGCCTGAAATGTTATCTAAATTATCAATTAGACATTAATTAACTTATCCAGACCATAATAAACTCTCGATGTCAAGGCTAGCCTTCGATGTTGGCTGGATTAGATTCCTATATGCCGCTAACGGCTATTGATAATTAAATCAGAAAAAGTGAATAATCGAGACTATGCTGTTTATATTAATGATTTTAGTAATGATGATCGAGACTATGCAAAAATTTCACCCGCTTCTTTCTCGGCTCATAGTGGATCAATTTGACTGAAATTTCCAGCAAATTACCTTTACACTATCTAGTTTTTAACTATTATAGCGAGAACTGTCATCTCTTTATCTTATCTCCCATAATGTATCTTTAATTTTTAAAATGAATAAATTAAATTTTCAAAAAATATGTAAGTGGAAACAAAAAGATGTAATAAGAATTTTCATGCTAATATTTTTTTTCTACTATTTATATATTTTTTAATAAATTATATTTTAATATATTGTCTAATGTCTAAGGGGGCCACTTCCTTAGGGGCCCACTTGCCATTGGGCAAGCTGACAACCTGGTCAGTCCGCCACTGCTGCGGATTCCTAGTCACTCAGTAATAAAACAGTAATTGTTTTCCATTGAAATGTGTCCTGTTTATTTACAGTTTAATTACTAAATATCACTGAAACAATGTATGTAATGATAATATATACACTATTTTAATATATATAATTTATTATATAGATCTTCGAGTACTTCGAGTTTTGGTAAAACAGGAAAGTTAATGGGACGAGTGACTGATACATTTCGTGTAAGTATTTTAATTACAAATCCTTTTATCAATCACATTTCGAAGTTTTTTGGATATGAGGATTTAATAAATAATGATGTATTCCCTCTACATACATTCCCACTTACATGGAATGTTGATGGTGGTTATATGGCTTCATCAGGTTCTATCCCAGTGTTGACAGAGAAAGTTCCTTCAAATCACCAACCTGGTTTCACCTTGTCATATTGTTTTATTGGCCTGGTGGGACGAAAACCGCAATCAATCACTGTACACGTTGGCGTGCATGTAAACGAAAGAAATCTTACAAATTGAAATTCGGTGAAGAATACGCGAGAACGGGCTGCTTGCTGGTATGTGCGCCATGGTTAACTTGCTTAATTGGTGCAGGAAAATAGACCCTTGTTTTATAGTTGTTGGATCAT